CTCATTATAATAGCTTTGGTGCAGCATTATGGAATCTCGCAAAATAAGACGATTGTAATACAACTACACTTCTGTCTCCTCACTTTTAGGTAACATGTAGGTGAGAATTTATATTTTATTCTCTCCTTGTTTCTGCCAGCAGCCCTCGTCCACCAATGAGTTGATGGAAGTGTTTTCGACCCCACTGGAGGAGCCTCTGGCACAAACTCGGATCCCAGGTATCAGTAAACATAAGGACGCTTTCCTCTTAAAAACAGCTGATTTTTAATAACAATACACCTCATAGTGTAGCGCTTTTTGAAAAACAAAAACTATTTTTCTCCTCCGTCAGAGCCTCCGCAGCAGCAGCAGCAAGTGCTCTCCAGCTCGCAGATTCTCTCTATGTTCCCCACACATCCTGTAGGTGGCTCTCCATACTCATCCCCCACATACCCTCCAGCCAGCATGCCTTGGGGCCAGCAGGCGCTTCCAGGAAACCAGTGGGCGGCCCCGTGGCCCACTGCACCTGGCAACATTTCACCATGGGCACCACCAGGTGTCACAGTATCCCCTACATTAAGCCAGGCTCCCAGCATGGCCAACCCTCTGCCGGGTTTCATGATGGCAGGAAACGCAGCCCCTACGCCCTCTGGTGTTAACATCTACTCCACCCCTTTAAACTCCTTAAACTCCACCCCTACAGGAACAACAGCAGCGCCGCTGTCAGTCTCCTCACCCTTGGAGAACCCCTCCCTCCTTTGAAATGAGTGTAGAAATATGAATTTATTGAGTTCATGTTTTGTTTTTAGAATTTTTAGTAAAAGAAAACACCACCACACACCTACAATGAAGCTCTAAATTATAGCACCAATATTCTTATATCATTCATTTTCTTATATATTTAACTACTTCATGGGCTCCCATGAGATGAGAGGTGGACAGGTTTCATGTCCTTCACAGGGGCTAACAGAGATAGACAGACAACAGTTCATGCTCATATCCACACCTACGGCTGATTTAGAGTCACCTGTAAACCTAAACCGACTCTAGAAGCCAGAGAGCCCATAGAGAACCACACAAGCATGACCATGAGCACGCAAACACCGCTCAGAAAGCCCCCAGACTGAGCCTGAATCCTCTTGCTGTGAGCCAACAGTGTTGACTCATCCACCAATATTGTAAACTGAAGTACAGTTATGGTACAAAGTTTACATCCACTCAGCATGGGCATGAATATTGTGGTAATTTGGAGGTTTTAATCATTTATTTGAACAAGAATTGCGTGCACAAGTTTGAATTTATTTTGGGGGTGGGTTTCAAAAATATACATATACAACCATTAATATTTGGTGAAACGTTCCTTAGCAGGTTGCACCTCAATCAGACCCTTTGGTAGCCATCATCAAGCATTTGGCATAATTCTGACTGGACATTTGACCATTCTTCTTGGCAGAATTCATAGACCTCAGAGTTCAGTTAATTTTGTTCGTTTCCTGGCATGAATCCACCTGTTGAGTGTAGTCCGCATATTTTCAATGGGGTTTTCAATAGGTCAGGGCTTTGGGAAGGTCATTCCAGAGGCTTTAGTTAGCCTGCTTTACCCATTAGGATCATTGACCTGTTGGAACATCCAGTTGTGTCCAAGTTTCAAGCGTCTAACTGTTGATTAGAGATTAATTTGATGAGCTCAGAGGTAGTACTTCTCCTTCATTATTCAATCCACTTTGTGTAATGTACCAGTACCATTTGCAGCAAAACAGCCCCAGAGCATGATGCTACCACCACCATGCTTGACAGCTGGTACAGTGTTATTAGGCATGAAAGCCTCACAAACATGCCTCTTGTCATTTGGCAAAAAAGCTCAATCTTTGTCTCATTTGACCATAAAACTTTTCTCCAGAAGCTGTTTGGCTTGTCCATGTGGGCAACAGCAAATTTCGGTTGAGGTTGAAGTTGCCAGTTTTGGAGCAGGAGCTTCTTTCTTGATCAATACCCTCTCAGACAGCAATACTCACTTTACTGTGGACAGTGATGCTGCTGTTCCAGACGTTTCCAGTTCATGGCAGGCTTGAGCCTTTTCCTTTCATCTGAGGGTGACAGTTTGGGTCTTCTTTAGACCTTTACAAAGGGATGATCCTGGAATCTCAAGTTAGAAATGCCCCATTAAACGTCTGGAATAGCCTTCAGAAAGCCCCGACTTTAAACTTCTTGAAAAGTTTAAGGACAACTCTTAAAATCCAGATCTTTGAACACTTGTAGCTCAACATGAAAACAGCAAATAAAGAAATAAATATTACAATACTATTACTAACATTAATAAAAGCTTAAACAGACAAACTGTACAATTTTTATTTCTAATAAATATGTAATAAAATTTTTGTGCTGAACAGTGAAATCTGTCGATAAATGCTCAGAACTTCCAACTTTATTTTTTCATATAATTCATTCAAAAATCCTGCAGTATGTAAATTTCAAAGTAGCTTTCAGGTAGATGAATAGATTGTAGATATGAGGACTTGATGTTGATCACTTACTATGTTCAGTTTTGTAAACAGGACTTTTTGAAATGGACTGTTTAACCATTTGATTTGTGAAATTTGCTGATATCAAATGAATTCCAACTTTCTGTCTTGTTAAAAGGGATTTTGGGGGTTTGGCTGGTTACACACAATACTGTGTTTTGGGGAAGTTTTTTCTCCTTCTAAATCAAAGTTTGAGGAAGTCTAATTTACACAATATAAAATCTTTTTAAGAAACTTGTGACTTCCTCAGATTTTGGCTATGAAAAGACGGCTGACTACATGACGTGTACAAGATGAATAAATTACATAACGTACGAGGAAACCCCCACTCTTACTTCACTAAAATTCTCGTCCTTTCATGTATTTTTCAACATCTCCTCGTCTTATCTAAATAAGGTTATTTTATTCTTTCCTGCCTTAATTAATTTGCTTTTCTTCACTTCATGCGCTCCCACACAATAAAACACAAAGAGTAGATCAACAAAAGCACACAGTGAGATTAATGCCACACTTTGTAAGGCCTGGTTGGATGTTGTTGTGCACATTATGATAAGGCTGACCTTTCAGGGCGAAATGAAACAAAGTGGTGCACCTATTATTTTCTGCTCTTATTCTTATGTTGTGTCACTATCAGTCACCCTCTTGCCCACACTGAATTGCAGAGCATTTCCTCATTCGCAGTAAGCTCAGTGTGGTTGTGCGTGCAGCAGCACACACAGCTACATCGGCCTGGATACTGGTGTTACTACTAGACATGGAACGTTTTGACCACTAATAAACTATCACTGAAGGAAAAGATGGTAAGGCATTCTTATTTATTCTTTTTTTGAATGTACCAATGATGGACTAATTAGGAAGTCCTCCACTGAAGCTTACACAATCCTCTTCAGGCGCTGTGTGTTTAACTCTGACCATTTCCTCCTGACCACCAAGAGGTTTATGAATAACTAGACTTTTGTAGAAGGAACCTCAGCAGGTATTATTGTAACACTACAGGTCTAACCTCAGTTTCTATGTATCCTCCACTTAGAACAAATGTACTTTTATAACTGAACCATCTTTAAAACATTCAAATTTTGTAACACAATATCCACAAAACATGACAAGTACAGTTTGGCACAGTTTTTCTAAAAAGTGTTTATTGGATCAGTTTCACAGGGAA